CTCCTGCCTCAGCCTCCCAAGTAGCTGGGACTATAGGCATGTACCACAATGCTCAGCTAATTTTTCTATTTTTGTAGAGATGGGGGTCTCATTTTTGCTCAGTGTGGTTTTGAACTTCTGGCTTCAAGTGATCCTCCCGCCTCGGCCTCCCAAAGTGTTAGGATTATGGGCATGAGCCACCACACCTGGCCTATCTTAACCATTTTTAAGTGTATAGTTAAGTGGCATCAAGTACCTTCACATTGTTGTGCAACCATCACCACCATCAATCTCCAGAACTCTTTTCATTTTGCAAAATTAAAACTCTGCACCCATTAAACAATAACTTCTCACCCCTGTTTTTCCACCCCCAATCCCTGGCAATCCCTATTCTTCTTTCTGTCTCTATGAATTTGACTGTTCCAGGTCCCTCACATAAGTGAAATCATGAAGTATTTGTCCTTTGTTACTGGCTTATTTCACTTAGCATAATGTCCTCAAGGTTCATCTGTGTTGTAGCATGTGTCAGAATTTTCCTCCTTTCTAAGACTGAATAATATTGCATTGTACGGATAGACCACATTTTGTTTATCCATTGCTCTGTCAGTGGATCTGGGCTGTTTCCATCTTCTGGCTATAGTGAATAATGCTGCTATGAACATGGGTATACTGGCTAAAGGTTTTTGAATGATGTTCCATTAAATCTCGGTATTGATTTCAGGCAGGTAAACTACTGAATGAAACAGTCTACTACAACAAGAGAAGGGGAAAAGAAGGCAGAATGCTTCCCAGCTCAGAGTACTATAGAGTAAACTCAGTTGTTTGAGAGGTTTCTATCCCAGGAGCAGGGCACCTTAATACACAGAAAATACCTTTTTCTCATTTTTAAGTGACTCGAATCTATTTCTTGTTTGGATGCTGTGGGTTTGGCTCAAGAACGGGGCTCGTATTTTGTTGGTTCCCCATTGTAATAGCTTGAGGATCTTGTAGACACTGGTAGGGTAGACTCCTCCTCTCTGCCTCATCTGAGTTAGGTAGAGTCTTATTTCTGGAAGTCCACCCTGCCTGGCCTTTTTCTTTTCTTTAGAAACTGCGATCGATCAGCTGATGTTTACAGATACCAGGGGAAGGGAGTGGGGAGGACAAGGCATGTATCTGTCTCACAACTCTGTGAGCCCAGACCCAATAACACAGGCGCCAATCATCAATACGGACGAGGGCACTGATCAAAGAATGAGTCGTTTGCCCATCCAGAAGGTACAAGATACCTATGGGGTCTAGCAGGGGATGTAAATGAGCCAAATATAGAATAAGAAAGAGAGGTAGAAAGCAGGGCGCAGCCGTGGCTCAAAGTGGCAGGGGACACTTTGCTTTAGGCAATTGTCTGGTGAAAACGTGGCTCCCAGTTGCCAGATTCTCTAGTTTTTCAGAAATGAGAAAGCCCACTTTGCATAACATCACTTGATATTTAAAAGACTCTTTAAGCCAAATGACACTTAACTGCAGGCTGACTTTGATCTGTGAGATACCAGTCTGCAGCAACTGAAGTAGATATTCTTTCTGGGTTGAGCACAAAGGAAGGGCTCTCTGATACCTTACCCAAGCTCAGACCATTTGAAATATAAGATCATTAATTGTTTTTCTTCTTCTTACTTTTTTATTTTGAAACTTTCCAAATGCAAATGAAAGGAGAAGATACAATGAACTTCCCTGCATTCATTACCCAGCTTCAACAACTGCCAATATTTTGCCAGGATCATTGAATTTTCCAGCTAGAAAGAGCCTTGGAAAGTATTGCCCTGACAATTGCTCTCATATCTTTGAGTACCTATCATGTGCCTGAACAACGTGGTAAGTACTAGATTATCCAAAATCCTTACCACTAAATCTTTTCCCTATTTTTTAAGAGAAGTTGAGTATCTGCCCAACCTTAGTGGCAATGGCAGCTGGCAGGGGGCAGAGCTGGCCACCAAGGCTTGGGCACGTGAACCTCCTCTCTCTCTGCCCTCCACAGCTTCTGAACACCCGCAACACCTGTCTACAATTAGTGTCTAGGTCCTTTGCTCATTCTGGTGGGGAGACACCCGACAGACTTAATATCAGAATTTACGAACGGCACAAAGTTTAATAATATGACACAGTGTCCATTTAGTCGGTTTCTTCTTCTGTAAAGAACAAATCATGCAATTACCTGCTTTACGGCATCTTCATAGGAGGGAGGCTGTGTTATCTCTGAGACTGTCGAACTTGACTTAGAAAAAGTTGGGGATGGAATTGAAAACTTTGGCCCTGTCTTATCAGAAGAGTGTAAACCAGCCATCTGCGTGGATAAAATACAGAGAAAAGCATTCATTTCATGGTCAGAAATGGTACTGCTTCTGTTCTAGAAACTACAGGCTAAATTTTGGAAAAATTGATCTAAGACCAAAAAAAAAAAATCTGGGGCTTAGAAAGTAACTTTCAAATTTTAACAAAAGTGCATGTCACTGTGGGTTTATTGCTGGTGGCATCTTAGAACGGGAACCTTACAGATCTATCTTCCCCCATAAGGTGCACCCTCTTCTGTTAGAAGAGTAAAAGAGTCCATACAAAGAAGGTCACCAACCCAGGAATATCCAGAGGAATCTATACCCCAGGTCATTTCACTCCAAACTGGTTATATTTGCAGAGAGCTGGAGGCGTCGCTGGGGTCTCTTCACGAACCAGCTTTGTTTGTGGTGAGTGTGTGGAGAGCCTGGCCCACTTCAGGGTCTCTATCCCTCCTGACATGGGGCACGTGGTGCTTATATGTCAGGACCATCTTATGTTTGTCTCCTTCCTGCCACCTCTTCATTGCTCCTTGGAACTTCCCATAGCCAGGATCCTGTACAGCCTGATTCCTTCCACCAGCTGACGAGTGCCATCTCTTCCTCTTTCCACAGAGATGCACTGTGACCCCAACTTTCTGGACCTCTCCAGTCCTGGCTATCCATGTACCTCCCTCCTTCTCCAACATTACTTTCCCATACACCCCAGTTCCAAAATGCAACTTCATAGAAACTGCCATAGAAATACCATGGCCATTTTAGTCATCATGATTTCTGGGATGAACCCAGGAGAGGACTCCCTGGGACACCTCCTAACTCATATTTGTACATCCATTTCCATGCATTTCGAGTGCACTTGTTTCTCTCTAAAATGAAATTTAATTCTGCCTTTAAAGGGAACCTCATCATTCATTTTGGAGGACAGGGACCACAAGAGAGAGAAGAGGCAAAGTTAATCCCAGGTTTAAACCTTTTTCCAGGTGCCTACCTTTTGCTGTACACCTGGGCTTTTTGGACAAGGGTTGCCCCCGGCACAGTGACTGTTGTCTGCCTGGGCTCCGGAGAAAGGTGGGCGGAGGCTGGGAGAACGGGAAGTGAAGCTTGGAGGATGGCCGTCGTGTGCCCCTGAGTTCTGTAGAAAGGAAGAAGTGACAAATTAAATGGCCAGCAGTGGCTTACTTGAGTGAGGCCTTTGCCGACAATTCTGAGCCCTGCCCTGTGTCCCCTGGTGTCTTATCTTTGCAAGCCTTCCTAAATTCCATTACTGAATGAACTTGCCTAAAACTCTTGGCTTTGTACGTATCACCTACTGCTTAAAGACTTCCAGTGGCTCCCACATATCTGCAGCATAGGGTCTGTACTTCTAACCTGGAGAAGTGTTCAGGACTCTCTACAGTTTAAATTCTACTGTTGCCGCCATGCACCTCCCGCAACAGGCCCCGTACCTTCTACCTCCCCATCTTTGTTCACATGGAGTGTCCTTTCCTGCTTCTCTATTTTTTAATGCTACACTTCCCACCAAGACCAACCCCATTGCAAAAGCTTCCTTGTGATTAATCTGCCCCCTCCCCCACCAACTCTGTGCAGCATTTAGTGTCCTAAGCATAGATCAGTCATGTTATCCTCTATTGTTCTTTATCGTTTGATCATGGAAGTTTTAATGTCTTCAAAGAATCTTTGTAAACCACAGTTCTTCTGGGGAGTACCAACGTCATCAGAATTGAAAGTTATGGTCCAGAGCTATGTCTCAAGAATGATTTTTACCTTTGTTGCCTCAGATAGTACGCACTCAAGAAATGCTTGCTAATGATGGTGGCAATCCATTTAAGCCCCAGTTTCTCTTGCAGTGCCCCCTGAGGAGTGGGCAGCGTTCATTGCAATATGTTGTTCTGGTAGGTTTGTAAAAAGTTATTCTCATTACCTTTTGCCATGCCTCATACTCTCAGAGCAGAGAGATATTCCATGTGAAAAGGGCATGCACTTTAGAATCAACCCATCTTGGGTTTGTGTGATCCCGAGCAACTGGTTCAAGCTCCCTGAGCCTTATATTCCTCCATGGCAAATACAGAATAATAAATTGGAGGTCACAGGGTTGTTGTGACAATTAATGAGATTACTTATATACATGTCTCCTAATACTTGGCACGTGGCAGGTATCCAATTAATGAGTTTTCTTCCTACTTCTTTTCTAATAATATGGATTTTAGAACCTTTTGATGGTGTAATTTTCTTTCTCAAATAAACTTATATAGACTTTCTTGGTAATTCTTCAGCTTCGTGTGCAAAAGGAAAACCCTTTTTGATCACCTTGGTCTAGTCTTTGAATTTGTAACTCTTCCAAGCTATCTCCTATGACTCTCCTTTCATTCTGCTCCAGTCACACTGGCCTTCTTTCTGATCCTTGAACATTCCCTATAAGCTTCAACCCCAGGACCTTTGCACTTGCTGTCCCTCCTTTGACTTTATTGCTTTCACCCCAAATATCCACAAGGTGCTTGCCTTTACTTCTTTCAAAGTTTTGTTCAAATGTCCCTGGCCCTTCTATTTAAATTGGCAAACTTCCAAACTCCTCATATCTCCTTCCCACCTTTTGTCCGTAAGATGTATCATCTTTTAATACATTACATAATTTACTTTTAAATTTTGCTTACTGTTTTCCCATGAGAATAGGGATTTGTGTTTGGCTAGTTCAGCACGAATCCCCAGAGACTAGAACAGGGCCTGACACAGAGTAGGTGCTCAGTGAATATTTGCACACTGCAAATCATTACACACAGAACAGAGTGAAGTCTGGTGACTTCCCTTTGGCCCTCTTGAGGAACTGGTTGGCCTATGGTAAGGTTTTACACCAAGGAGTCCTGAGAGCAACGGTCAGCAAACTACAGCCCACAGGCCAAGTCTTGCTCACTGCCCGTTTTTGTAAATAAAGTTTTATTGGAGTGTAGCCATGTGCATTCATTTACAAGATGTCTATGGCTGCTTTCCTGATGCAAGGAAAAGTGGAGTAGTTGTGGCACAGACGGTGTGACCTGCAAAGCCAAACATATTCATCATTTGGCCTTTTACAGAGCAAGTTTGCTAATCCCTATCTGGGAGGATGAGTTTGGTCTACTGCGAAGGCTCATGGATCACAGCGTCTGGGAGTTGCGGCTGGGCTCTTGGTCGGCCCTTCACCTTGGAAGTTCCAACATGAGCTTGTTAGTGGTGCAAACCCACATCCCACACTTGCAGAAGGAGGGATGCCCGGGCCTGGTGCAAGGCGTCCTTACCTGCGCGGGGCACGCCTGGCTGCCGGCGGGCGAGGAGACCCTGTGTGCTTCTCCCTGAGCCCCGGCAGGCGCAGGCAGGAAGTAAGCGTTGTTGGGCGACGGGGGCAAACTGATGTGCTGAGGGCTCTTCACGGCCCCGAGGGGCGAGTGCTGGGGGGAGCACTGCGGGCTGAGAAACGTGGAAGAAAGTACGCCGGTTTGGCCCGAGGACTCCGCACAGTGCGCGTTTGCCAGGGGCGGGAGAGGAGCAGCTCCGCAGACCTGCGACGGGGGCTCGGGGCCGCTGTTTCGTCGTTTCGCAGAGACTTGCTGGGATGCAAAGGGACAGCTGGAGACGGCCTCTTCCTGCTTGATGGGCGCGGCCAGGAAGGGCAGCGGCTTCTGCTCGGGGCAGTTGTTCCTTTTCTGCTTCTGCAGCTGCATCCGCAGCTCCTCCACCTGCCTCTGCTCCTGCTGCAGCTTCCAGGTGAGCTCGTTGATCACTTTCTGCTTCTCCACCAGCATCTTGTCCTTCTCGGAGTCCGGCCCGTCCAGCTCCGAGGCGGCGGAGGCCCCGTTCAGGCTGCTCGCGAGCGTCTCCTCCGCGCACACGTGGGCCGGGGACGGGTGCAGGCCGAAGGCGGGGGAGGCGTCGTTGAAGGTGTCCGGCAGGGACCCGGCGACCGACAGGTCGGACGAGGCGGGGGAGATCGGGGGGCTGGAGCTGGTGCTGCCGAAGTGGTAGAAGCCGTTGGACAAGGCGCTGGTGGAGGGCGAGGACTGGTAATTGGGCAGCGTGCTGGGGGTGACGGGGAAAGTGACCGTCGTTATGTCCCCGAAGTTCGGCACCGGGTTGCCAGAACAGTCCTGGAAGGGCCGGAGCCGGTCCATGAGGGCCGTTTTGGTGCCTGACACGGGCAAGCCCCGGATGCGAAGCTGTTGTCTTAGTTCAGAGACCTAAAGAAACCAGGACATTGTTAGTATGCTAAGAATATTTTTTAAAGTGTGTTTATTGTATTAATAAAACGAGCTTTGAAACATCACAAATGCAATTTTACAATATCCACTGATGTTTAATACTTCTTTCCAATTTCATCTCCTATCCCTGATATAAATTGGTTTTGCCCAATTTTAACAATTCTTTTTTACTTTATCATATACCATGTTTCCGCCTGGGTTTAGACACAAGCCCTCAAACGATAGTCCCAAAGCACAGCCGAGTGCAGGTCAAGTCCAGACTTGACTTTGAGAACCATGGCTCCATGTTGACTTGTATGTCCTAGTTTTGATGACTCGCTCGATAACACTCATTTATGGAGAGAGAGTGACAAGATCTTCAGTCCAAATTCTGGCCCTGCCTGTTATTAGCTCAACAATCACTTTGTGCCTCAGTTCTCCTTCTGTGAAATGGAGGTAATCATATCTATCTGATATAGTTTTGCCAAAGTCAAAATGGCTTAAAATTTGTAAAGCACTTGGCCTAATGTCTGGAAAACGGTCGTGTAGTGGGAGGGTTTACTATTATTATAATATTATGTAGACTCACATGTTATCCCTACATTTTTTATAATGCTCATAAACTGAAACTATGAATATCCACAAATATGAGAACTGGTTAGGTAAATGATAGAGTATGCAAATGATAGAATACTACAGATCCATTAAAACTGATGTAATAGGCTGGGTGCAGCGGCTCATACCTATAATCCTAGCACTTTGGGAGGCTGAGGCGGGAGGATCCCTTGAGCCCAGGATTGGAGGCTGCAGTGAGCTATGACAACGCCACTGCACTCTAGCCTGGGCAATAGAGCAAGACCCTGTCTCAGAAAGAAAACAAAACAAAACAAAACAACTGATGTTATAAGTATTTGTTGACATTGGATGATGAATAATTGTTTATGGTATATTACTAAGTGGAAAAAAGTTAGAATTGATTCTATTTTTCTAAAAATTATACAAATAATGTATATGTATATATTTCAACCTACACTTGCATATAAAAATATCTAGATAAACATACTCAAATATTAATAATGGTTCTCCTTATCTGTAGGCTCTAAATATTTCACATAAATATATTCATTCTGTAATTAAAACAAGAAACATTTAATACCTAAATTTCAATAGTTCTGTAAAACAGCAAACTGTGGGAATATTCTTCTGATATTCTGTAGGGAAATATCTTTTGAGCATAAAAGGAAAGAAAGTAATCATAAAAATATTGAAAGCAAAGGTTAAGACTTCTTTAAGTCAAAAAACTATAAATAAAATGCAAACACAAATAGCTATCTTGGGGAAAAAATAATTGCAGCACAAATAAAGTGTTAAAAATCTTAGTGTATCCAGTGTGCTTTCTAATTAAAAAGAAAAAGATTGATACTCATTGTAAAAATGGGCAGAGGATACGACCCAGCTCTTCACAAACAAAAATAAAATTTAAAATATGGTATGGCCAATAATGTATGTATACCATCATCAGTAATACAAGAAACACAAAATGAATGTGTACGGATGTTTGTATTTATTAAATTGAGGAAGAAATGAATGGTAACACTTTGTTTAGGGAAGTAGCAGCAAAAATAAAATGTTTTTAAAAAGAAAATAGCTCTTTAATGCTTTGCTATTCAAACTACGGTTGTTGGACCAGCAGTGTCGATATTTACTGGGAGCAAGTTAGAAGTGCAGAATCTCCCGTCCCTCCCCAGACCTGCTGAATCAGAACCTGCATGTTAACAGGAGCCCGGGTGACCTGTGCACACATTAATGTTTGAGAAGTGCTGCGTTAACATGCTGCTTCTGGGAAGAGACTGGCATAAACATTCAGGACAGAAATTTAGCAATATATGTCCAGAACTCTAAAAAAGATTAATATATTTTAATTCAGGAATTTCATTCCTCTGTAGTTAGCCTGGGGAAATAACCAGAGAAATTAATAAATGTATGCACAAAGGCCACTGAAACCATATTCTGAATAACAAAAATTTGGCAGCTAGTTAAATGTCCAGCAGTGAAATGTTAGGTAGGTGGTGGAATGATATGCTGTTATTAAAAATAGAAATTTTATTGAATATTGAAAGTTCTAAAAAATGTTCATGATGTGTTAAAAAAAAGTATGCCAGAAATTTATGTACACATAAATTTTTTAAAACAATTATTTTGAAACAAAATATGTGCATATGCATTTTCAATTTAGAAGGAAATATAATCTGTAGTGCTTTCTGAGAGTCTTAATTATCTTTTAAAATGCTGTTTATTTTTCTATACACTATCATATTTCAGCAGTGAAAATATGTTACTTTATAATCAGCTAAAAATTATCAAAAAAGCATTGAATCAACTTATACTAGCAATAAATATGCTATTTCCCCCATAGCCTTGCTGGCATTGTTTTATCATTTTCTTTTAGATTTGCTGGTTTGAAAAAGCACAAAATGGCAACTCATTATTGTTTTAATTTCGAATTACTTAAAATTAATGGGTCCTACATTTATTTTTAGAGTCTGTTCTGGCACTGAATAATTTAAACTACATTATTAAATAATGCAGCCCATATTCTAAAATAAAATGAATACTGGTTGAGTTCAATTTACCTTAAATTTCAGAGTATTATGCTATATAGGCTTGTTTGGCACAAAGGTTTGTATACATCTCTTTGCTACATTCACTGATGTTTTAATCATGGATAACTTTTAAAACTATTTATTGTGGAAACATTCAAACATACACGAAAGTAGACAGAAAAGTCTAAAGAACGCTTTGTACTTATCAACCAACTTCAACAATTATCAACTCATACCCAATCTTATTTCTTTTATACTCCAACCCACTTATGTCCCTATCTTTCCTGAATTATTTTGAAGCAAATCATATAATTTCATCTCTAAATATTTTGGTCTCTATCTCTAAAAGATAAGTACTCTTAAAAAAAGACCATAGATAAAATACAATGACCACACTTTAAATATGAACAATTATTTCTTAACATCCATCAAATGTTTTCCCAGTTTTTAAACTTCTCTCTATCTCTCTCTTGCATGCTGTCTCTCACTCACTAGTTTTAGAAACAGGATGCAAAAAAAAAATCCATGTACTGTGATATAACCATCAATAACTTTTTAATGACAAATCAAACTCTTCTCTCAGTGTTTTTCCCCTTCTACTTTTATGTATCAACACAGGAACAGTTCTTGAAAACGTGACCTTCACTGTATTAGCTTTCCGATTACTATTCAGGGGGGTCATTTCCATCAATTCCTCTTATTTCTCCCCTTCCCTAATTGTGGTTGCATCATGTGCTTCTTTTACTCCTCATCTCTCCTTCCCTCCCTCTCTCTCTTCCCATTGTGCTCTCCCTCAACCTCGTTCAGTCTCTAGCTCCAACCCTCTCCACATTGCACACGATTCTGAAGTTTCTGTTGCTACCCCTGACAACACAGCTTGGCTCCTTCTTACCGATAGAAGCTGGCTAGACCTTTTCTATCGGGTGTCCTATTGGTACCTGCAACTTAGCTTTTCCAAACCGAATGAACTTGCCACCGTCCCTTCACATCAGCCCTCCACTCTAACCTCCCTCTGTCTGCCATGGGTGTGACTCTCCCGGGGTGCAGGTGACGCCTCTCCCCACACGCACAGTGAGTGGTTAAGTCCACCCAAGGTCCCTCCTGTCCATCCTTCCCTTCCCATTCTCAACTCTCACGACAACAGCAAAGCCCTTGAAATCACTCCCTTAGGTGCAAGCCCCAGTTTTGTCATTTATAAGCTGGTTAACTTGCTTTTCACATAACTGTTTTAAAGTTTTGATTTTTATTTTCACTTTTTAAATTGGAAAGATAAAACTTACCTTGCAGGGTGAAAATTAAAGCAAATCTATAGGGGATGGCTGATTGATAGTTTATGCTCAAAAAATGGTAGCCTCCACCGCCATCACCATCATCTCCTTAGACCTGTGCTAATTATTATCACCATTGGCAGCCGGTGACTCTGAGCATGTGCACATGGAGGGAGGTGCCTTTGGGGGCTCAGACAGATGGCACCACATCTGGTCTATGTTTCTCTGGGGCTAAGGCACCTCCAGTCCTGCTTGATCCGGGGCTTCCATCCGGATATAGGCTACTTAAAAAAATATTTTTTATGGTGGAAAAATAAGCATAACAAAGTTTATCATGCAACCATTTTGAGTGTATAGTTCAGTGGCATTAAGTACATTTACAAGCTTGTGCAATCATCACAACCCCCCATCTCCAGTACTTTTCATCATCTCCAATGGAAACTCTGTCTCCACTAAACAGCAACAATTCTGCATTCCCCCTCCCACCAACCCCTAGTAGCCACCATTCTACTTTCTGGCTATGAATCTGCCTGTTCTAGACGCCTCTTATGAGTAGACTCATACAGTATCGGTCCCTTTGTGTCTGGCTTATTAAATATTTCACTTAGCATAATACTTGAAAGGTGAAATTGCCTACTTTTGTCTCTATGAATTTATAATTTGGGGAGTGGAGGGTGGGTGACCATGGCTCCAGGGAGCATTATCATGAGCTTGGTGTTCTCTTCTAGGTTTGTGGATACTAAATTAAAACATGCTCAATGGAACTTCAGCCATAAAAAACAATGGTGCATTAATACTTCTTGTATTATCCTGAATGGAGCTAGAGCCCTTCCTTCGAACTGGAGTATCACAAGAATGGAAAAACAAGCACCACATGTATTCACCATCAAATTGGTACTAACTGATTAACACTTATGTGCACACATGGAAGTAACATTTCATTGCGTGTCAGGCAAGTGGGGGGGGAAGGGGATGGGTAAATTCACAACTAATGGGTGTGGAGCGCACTGTTTAAGGGGATGAGCATGCTTGTAGCTCTGGCTTGGGTGGTGCATATGCAATATATGTAACCAAAATGTTTGTACCCCCATGATATTCTGAAATTTAAAAATAAATTTAAAAAAAGAAACCTAAGCATTTTTAATCCAAGTGGAAGGAATAGAGAAGACTTTGATATCAAGACCCAAGATATATCTTATTTACTGGTATTGGTGGTTGGCAGCCATAGAATTTCCTTTTATTTGAAATAAACACAATCCTACCTTCTCCCCCGAAGAAAATGATGACTGAGGACTGAGAGTGGGAATGAGGGTATTGATAAGGACTGAGCACTAAGGAGGGGCCATAAGATTGGCATGAAGAAGGTTATAGGGACCTTTAGGAATTTGGTTTTTGGGAAAAATTCTAAGTTCCTTTGGGGAGAGTAACAGGTAGGGCAGAAACCAGGTGAACAGGTGTAATCATTGAAAACGGGGTGAGGAATTGAATTGTGCTCTTCAGTTCAAAAAGTCAAAGGATACTGCATTCACCTTTTCCAGTTGTGTTGTGAATGCTGGATAGAGGGATGGATATGCTAGTCCTGAGGGCTGCGGAAAGGACCCAGCTTCAACTCCAAGGTCGGTGTCATTTCAGTGGCTGAGATCCACGTGATCCGCAGTGAGTAGCTAGCACACATACATCATTTAACAACGTGCTGCCACGCTTCGGGGCAGAGGTTCCCAGATTTGGGGATTTCAATTATAATGATATTATTGAAAATAATTAAGTTATATTATTGACATCAGGTTACCAATTTTTTTTTTTTTTTCCCGGAGATAGGGTCTTGCTCTATTGCCCGGGCTAAAGTACAATGGAGTCATCATAGCTCACTGCAATCTCAAACTCCTGGGCTCAAGCGATCCTCCTGCCTCAGCCTCCTGAGTAGCTGAGACTACAGGTGCATGCCACCAAACTTGGCTAATTTTTCTATTTTTTTTAGGTGGAGGGGTCTCAATATGTTGCTCAGCCTGGTCTCAAACTTCTGGCCTCAAGTGATCCCCTGGCCTTGGCCTCCCATGGTGCTCAGATTACAAGCTTGAGCCACTGCACTCAGCTGGGTTATCAACATTTTATCTCGTTCGGTAAGAACTAAGACCCTTATTTAATTATATCCTTATTTAATAAAAAGTAACAAATAAAACCCTACCAAAAACACTCAACTTCCATTCACCACCATCATTATTTCCTAATGGAAAGGATATTTTAAGATTCAAAACACTGGGAGGAAATACACACTTTGAAGAAAGATTAGTTCGATATGTGGAGCACCATTAGATTTATGAAAAGCTCTTTACATGGTTCTTATTTTTCTCATTTCATCAGAAATTGGTAAAAATTCATCATGGAGTTGACTACTGGTTTAGAGAATTCTGGAAGCTTACATCAATCTCACACCTAATCTGTGCTAAGCTCCACTGTGTGTACTATTTCACTTGACTTTCACAATAACTCATTTATGTGAATGAGGAACCTGAGAATCAGAAAAATGTAAAAAATAGCTCAAGTTTGTATGGTCTATCAAAGCTGAGCTAAGGGCCTATCATCTTCTGTTCTTCCATGCTATGGTTTGAATGTGTCCCCCCAAAATTCATGTGCTGGAAATTTGGTTGCCATTGTGGTGATGGTAAGAGGTGGGGACATTGGGAGGTGATTTTTGTCCTGGGGGTTCCACCATCATGAATGGATTAATGCCGTTATTGCAGGAGTTTGATCCCCTTTTCTCTCCTTCCCGCATGCTCTCACCTTCCCCTGCCCTCTTTTGCCCTTCCGCCTTCCACCCTTCCGCCATGGGATGACCCTCGCCAGATGCCGGTGCCATGCCCTTGGACTTCCCACCCTCTAGGACTGTGAGAAATGATTTTCTGTGCTTTATAAACCACCCAGTTTCAGGGGTTCTGTGATAGAAGCATAACATGGACTAAGACAAACAGGGTATTCAACCACAGCAGCATAAATTCTACCACTCCTTTGAATGTCTCCCATATTTTTCTTGCCTTCCACTCTCTTACTCCAGAAATCAGTAGGCAAAAATTCTGTTAACAATATACTGTTGTATTTGTAAAAAAAAAAAAAAAAAAGGAAAAAAAGAAAATCATGTCAAATTCTCTACCTTCAGATCATCCAGGTTAGGTGGGAGTGGGCCTGGTTTGAGAGAAGAGACACCAGTTTGTCCAGAAAAACTGTTTTTGACAGGGGACAAGGGGGTATTGCTCAGTGATGTTGAAGAAGAGTTTGAATTTCTGACCATCTGTTCATTTGGTTCTCTAAAAAACAAACAAAGAGGCACTTAAAATATGATCAAATATATGTAAGATCACTTGAATTTAGATCAAATCACAAAGTAATTGACTACAAGGATCAGGCAGGTAATAAATCAATGGAAGGGCAGGGTGAAGAGAAACAACAGCACAGGCTAGATGGCAAGTGGTGGGTGACCCTAGAGCTTTGTTTGGGGAGACAGGAGGGAGTGGTGGGGACTTTGGCACATGGGAGAGGACATGTCTGTCTCCTGGAGAGCATGCCTGGTGAAGCTTGACTGTGTTCAGTGCTCAACATAATTTCCATCATGGCCTGAGGATGACCAGCAATGTGTGAGGAATGCACATTCTCAAATTTATAGGTGAGGATATTGACTGTTTAAAAGGTGACCTAGTAATGTGGTCACATAACCTGGGCTCAGGAGTCAATCTTTGAGGCTGTCTCTCTGCTGTTCAGCTCTGTTGCTTCCAAAAGCAGAAGTATATTGGAATTGCTCACAATTCCGATATCACATTCTTAGATGTTCCACAATCCCATTTGGAAGTACTAATACTTTTCCTTTTTCCCCAAGGGGCTTCTTATCAAGGGCATTAATTTACAATAGTCCCCTCTTTCCTGCAGTTTTGTTTTCCAAGATTTCAGTTACCCGTGGTCAACCATGGTCCGAAAATAGATGAGTACAGTACAATAAAATATTTTGAGAGAGAGAGAGACCACATTCACATAACTTTAATTACGGTATATTGTTATAATTATTCCATTTTATTACTAGTTATCATTGTTAATCTCTTACTGTGTCTAATTTATAAATTAAATTTTATCGTAGGCAAGTATATAGAGCTTGATACTATCCAAGGTTTCCAAGATCCCCAGCATTCACATCCCCCTTGGATAAAGGGAGGCTACTGTATTTGCTTCCTCCCAGCCATATGGTCCTGAAAAGGTGTGCATGGTTTCTATTCCTATTCCAAACATACTGGATGAGGACATGGCACAATACAGGACTTGCTGGGTCCCAAGGTGCTGGCCCTGTGTGTCTCAGTTAGAGAGAAACCATTCCCAACCTCTGGCTGCGGCCACCATCCCAGGCTGGCCTGACTTACTTAAGCTGAGCTTGGTGCATCCCAGGGTAGCTGAATCGGTGCTGCTGCTGCTGCTGCTGGCTGAGGATCTGGAGCTGCAGGAACAGCTGTTGCTGCTGTAGCAGCCGGGCGTAGGCTGAGTCCATGGGGGGAGGGGACTTCTCTGCCTTCTGGTCTGGGGGAATGTACTGGTGATACTTGAGCTTCTTCACTTTCGGCTTGGGGTCCTTGGGCTTTTTATGGCGGTTCTTACTGTCACCCAAGGACTTGGACTGCAAAGAGAGTGGGGAAATGACATATGCTTTAACTGAAAATAACTTGGCATCATAGATTTGGTCTGATGGACATTCTCAAATCCCACAAAACAATATAGCAAAAGCAAGATGTACAAAGAACTCCCAGGACATTACTGTATCTAATGAACAAATCTACTGCAAATACGTCACACTGAAAGGACACTGCTCAGGCAGGGAATCTCGAATCTTAGAAATAGCTGCAGGATTTTGTCTTTTCTGGAGTAGAGACCAGTGATCAAAATAAAGACTATAAAAGATAATATTGAAATAATAACAGATGCTCAACAGTGTAATTGTATCTATAACCTTTTCCCGAAATCAAAAGGCCTTCATATATAGGAAGCAATAGGTTCATCCTGTTATCAGTTAAAAAAAATAAATGTTCAAACCTGACATTGTTACAGAAGGTTGAAATGGAGAACATGGATGTCATGACCGCAGATGGTGAAGGAACACATTGGAGGGAAAGTGTGGTACCAGCAGTGTCCAGAAGAGGGGGCTCCTGAACAGCTGGCAGCTGGCTTGGCAGCTTCCCCATTTTAACCACAAAACACACATCTGAATGTGACCTTATCCAAAGGAGCCTACATCTTGCTTTGAGTCAGCGCATCCCACTCTTTTGATTTCTCAAAGAGACTTCTTCCTGGGGACTAATGAATAATGAGCACAAGTATGTCTGTGTGCTCGGTGGCTCTATTTTCTCTCTGCTCATTAATCGATTAGTGTTCTAGTTAATTACTCAAGTCTGTTGTCCTTGGAGGGTTTCTGCAGGGCTCCTGCAACCAGCTCTGCCCAGCCTTGCTCCAGCTCCGCTGCTCTTCCTGCCTCATCCTAGGCCTGGCTGGTCTGGGAAGGATGGAGCTGCAGCCCTGGCTGCATCTAACAGTTAAGTCAGAGGTCCAGGAGGTTTTTTTTTTTTCTCTATGTTGCCTTAGTACATGGCCTCTGAGCATGCCAGAAGATACTGCAATTGGACCATTTTCTCTGGATAGAGTGGGGTAAAGACTACTAAACCCACGGTAATATGTAGTTTCATTCTCTTTTTGAGCACAGGGGACACGAAGGTTGTGTTTGTTTTGCTCTTTCAGCTGCACGGCCAAGAGAAGAAGAGCCCATTCATCTTTCTAAAGAGGGATCAGAGGTGACTCCACTCCAGCACTACACACCCAGGCATAAATGTGTGAACAGGGTTAATGTAAGGGAGAGGGAGCAGTGAGGCCAGGCCTGAGGCTAGAAAGGACAAGACTTCCTTAAGCCAATCTGAGTCAAATGCGCGTGCGCGCGCACACACACACACACACACACACACACACACACACACACACACACACACACACGGCACAACACACCACCCTGGTAGCCCCCAATCCACTCACAGGCCCTGCCCTGCCGAATGAAGTCCAAATTCTATAGTCTGTTAAGGAAGACAGTTCACCAAACTGCCTACGCTTTTCTTTTCCAACAGACTACACCTCCTGCCTCTTTTCCTTGCAATTTTATTCTCTCTGCAACACCATCTCCGCTTGCTGACTCCAGCTCCGTCCTTCGAGGCTGGCTCAAGCCTCGGCTCACCTAGGAAGCCTTTTCTAACTCACAGTGATGTCTCCTGTCTGCACTTCTCTTGCGGCCTTTGAGGCTGCCTGATAATGGTCACATCGCTGTGCATCTGCTGAGGGGTGAGGGAAACTCGAATCTAGCCCCATTCGCCTTCCTGCTGGCTCTGAGGGAGGCCTATGGCAGCTGCGGGAAGGAGAACTTCTTTTTTTTATTGTGGTAAAATACAAGTAAGATAAAAGTCACCATTGTAACCATTTTAGTACATTCACAATGTTGTGCAACCATCACCACTATCTAGTTCCAGAACATTTTCATCACCCCAAGAGGAAACCTGCTACCCATTAGCAGTCACTCCCCATTCCTGCCTTCCTCCAGCCCCTGGCAACCACCAAGCTGCTTTCTGTCTGTATAGATTCGCCTATTCTGGATATTTCAAATAAATGGAATCATGCAAGATGTGGCCTTTTGTGTCTGACTTCTTTCACTTGGCATAATATTCTCAAGGTTCATTCGTGTCGTAGCAGGTACCAGCACTTCACTCCTTTTTATGGCTGAATAATATTCAATTGTATGAATATACCACATTTTATTTATTCATTCATCAGCTGATGGCCATTTGGGTTGGTTCCAACTTTTAACTACCACGACTAGTACTGCTGTGAAAATTCATGTACAAGTTTTTGTTTGACCACCTGTTTTCGGTTCTCTGGGGCATGCACCTAGGAGTGGAATTCCTGGGTCCTGTGGCAAGTCTACGCTTGAATTACCGAGGAGCTGCCAAACTGTTTTCCACGGCAGCTGCACCGTCTTACTTCCCACCAGCAGTGTATGAGGGTCCCAGTTGCTCCAAATCCTCATCAACACTTGCTATTTTCCATATTTGTGTTAAAGCTACCCTAGTGTGTATGAAGTGGTATTCTATTGTGGTTTCGATTTGCATTTCCTTAATGATTAATCATGTTGAGAATCCCTTCGTGTGCTTGTCGGCCATTGGTCTATCTTTGTAGAAATATCTATTCAAGTCCTTGGGGGCACATCTCTCTTACTTGTGCAAAACACTGTTAGGGCTAGTGATGGTCCAAGGAGCCAATTAGATTAGACTGTAGGCTCCTTGAGGGCAGGAATCATGTTCTATTCGACTTTGGCACACACACTCACAGAGACTGCAGAGTGCTTTTTGCTTACATAGGATTTTTAGTTTCAAGGAATTTGAAACTTGTGCATTCTCTCATTAGCCTCATGTGAATCTTTTAAAGTCAACAGAGTAGAGATGTATTTCCCTAGCTTGGCTGCCTTCTTCTTTGAGAAGCCCCGTGATATCCTCTGAACTTAGAGCTGATGCATGTTTAGCAACTGGGAATGCACAGGCATTGAACAGTCAGAGGGGACGATGGCTCTTACACAAACAGCCAGTCCTCCTGGGCCAGTTGGGTTCCGTATCAATCCCCCGCTTCATTGAAAGTGACCTGTCCCTCTGGGATCCTATCACACTTGCTTAGCACAGTGAGGTTGAAGACTTTGAATTATGCAAAATTTAAATACTGTGATAGACATAGTAATAAAATTTCTCTTTATATACATTAGAAATAATGTGAATCATCCCCTCCTTCCTCTGCAATGAACAAAATTCATTGATAGTCAGACAATTTCAAACTTGTTGAGTTGAGTGAATCGTAAGCTGGGTTTATTTAACCTCTTGTGGTTTGGTGGGGGAGCTTCACTGGGAAACTGAAATGCCCATCATCAATTCAGAACATAAAACTGTCACTCGATTATCAATTCCTACTTCAATTTACAATCTTTTTTAAAATTCCATGAGAATCATTTCAGCATTCATTAAGTGGGGACACTAGAGCTGAGAAAACACGCTCCCAAATTAATGAGAAGTTATCTGGGATAAAACATTATGAAGAAGGCCGGATAACTACGAGGCAGTTAATTGGTGAGAGAGTACTCTGTGTACTATAAGATACAATGCTGAGAAAATTACGTAAGAATATGCTAACATGATTGCAGCTGTTTGTCTACTATGAATGTAACCCCCTCCCATCTTTATTTCTATAGGAAGATTGGCTCGAACGATAGAGGTTTTTTGTCATGCAGGTTCTTCAGGGCTGCTTCCCTTGCATAAAATTCAGCTGCCCTATACCTATTTTATGGCACTTGCAAATACTGTGTGCATTGTAATCAGCTGTGTGTATCTCAAAGGTGAGCTTGTAAAATCTTTTAAGTCAGAAACACGCTGGCTGAGCTGAAATCTCGAAGAAATGCAAACACACGGGCTTCTCTGCTGCAGAGAAGTGCGCTTTGTGCTTTGCTTCATGGCTAATAGAATCTTGGTCCACATACACCGGTGGCTCATTTCTCATCTCCTGTTTTGAGACATTCCTGGTAGGCTGAACCTACGCTTGGGTCTGTGTGGCTCTCCTCAGGTTGTCCGTCCTAACTCAGAAAGCTCCCTGAGCTGGCTTGTGGCTGGTGGGGGGGGGGGTGCGGGGAGGAGGGCTTGGAGGCTGATGCTTCCGTACCTTTACAGCGGCATGCACAGGGATTGGGGTGCTGGTGGGGCCAAGCCCCTGCTTCCCCGCATCTAACTGGTGGCTGGGCTGCGAGGCTGAGTCACTCCTGTCATTTTCTGAGCCAGAAGCAAGATCCTGAAATTCAAATTTTAGCATCATTAGTACGCAGGAATAAAAGTTGTGTGACACAGAAATGTTAAAGTAGAGCCCCTACACATAGCTCTGCTGCTTTATACACACACACGCAATTTGTCATCCAACTGAGGATGCTTTTGAGAGAGAAAGGGGGCATTCTTAATAATGATTTCAGAAGACAGATATAAAACTGGCCTGTTTATGCAAACTGGGCTGTGTGGTCACCCTGCGTGAGGGTTCCACTTGTCTGCGACAAAGTCCGCCTGTTGAACTTGATAATGGAACCGAGAGAGAAAGGAAGAGGGAAGAGTGGGTGTAAGAATTTGCAGGGAAAGTGGACCAACAAACAAGGTAGAGGAAAAGGGTGTTAGCAGGAGGGAAAGTGTGTGTGCGTGTGTACGTGTGTGTATATGTAAAAGTATATGTGACTGTGTGTATCTGAGTGTATATGTGTGTGTGCGTGTGTATGTATGTTTATAGGTATGTGTGCAGATACACCTGTATGTGTATGTTAGGTATACATGTGTGTTTTAATGTATGTGTGTGTGTCTGTGTGTGCATATGTATATGTGTGTATACACATATGTGGGCATGTCTGTGTGCGTGTGAGCGTGCGTGTGTGGAGTCATAAAAACCTTTATGAGAGGCAGACTCCAAAAAGGGACTCAATATCTTCTCCTCTCCTACATTCCTTTGCTGGAACTCTGACAAAAGGGGCTGAGGCTGCTCAGGGCTTCCCCCTGGGGGGTCGGGACTGAGCCTCTCTCCCGGAGCCTGGCACCTGTCAAAGGCCTGAGGGATTTTTTTTTCTTGGAGCCTCAGTGTCCTCATCTGTCACAGACGGTTGCCTGGTGAAACGACATAAAGTGAGTTTTGCATTTTGCCTGGCATCATTCAGTGTTGGTTTCCTTCTTCCCCTCTCCTAAGGTTAAGCAGAAAAGAACTTGTCTTCTCCTGAAACCATTCTTAAATCAGAAGCTGAGGAATTTACTGTCAGAATAATGCGTACAAACGGTCTGATAGACTGTTTGATGTTATCAAAGAAGTCTGGCTGCAGAGACCAGCTGCGGCGTGCAGGGGAAGGAAGAATGCTTTGATTATACACTCTTGCACAAGGAACGCATGACCATCTCGGGCTCTGCTGTTCAAACCTCCCTTTTCCCTCCCATTCCGCACTTTCTCCTTGGCAGCTGTAGGTTTGGTTTGATGGGGTGAGCATAGGCATGACAATGATCAGTAACTAGCATGGTTTCGGGAAACAGGGCCCTGGGTTCTAATTACTGTAACTGTCCCTAATATCTGTATGTGCTTTTCAGTGGAAAAAAAAATTTCCAAATGTATCTAATTTCAGTCCATTGTACAGTCCCCGTGAGGCCAGGAGGCGTAAATGCTTCCTGAAAGGGAGGGCCAGCGGGCTCTCCAGGTGGAAGCAGAGCTGGAGCTCACCGCTCACTTGCACACTAGGACAGCTCCTCCCGCCACGTGTGGACGCCCACACCCCTCTCCTCCCACGGGCTCCATGAACACCATCAGGCTAAGCTGAGGGAAGTTCCCATCCGGCCTGCATGTGGCTTCTAAAGGTGGATTCTCCAGGGGTTGCTGACACTGCTGTGTTCCTGGAGACCACCCAGTTAGCCTCACAGAGCTTTGGTCCCTCCTCTGTCAGGATGGACATCGATGATACCCACCTGCAGGGAACTGTGAGCTCAAGTGAGAAATGTCTGTAAAGTGCCCGGCGCTGCCTGGCCCAGAGTGAGCACTTAACCCATGGCAGTAGCTGTTGTTCATAGTCACCATTGTTTATAAAAGTGTTTTAAGAGCGTTTTCAGTATATATTCCTCATGCTCGAGGGTTTATAGATTTGTCTAGAAAAAGGTGAGTGTTATGCTTGGGTTGTGGCTGGAAGTCGATTTTGTAGTGGGCTTGGTAGGTAGAGAGAAACCTGCTCACCAACAGGTAGAGCCGACACGGGCCTCCCCGTCTGCAGACAGTCAGCACTTCCTTCTCCCCACTCCCCGGAACCCGAGAGTGACTCCTTAATGTCTGGAAAGACCTGAACTCTGAAATCAGTCCTGCCCTGGCACTTTCTAGCTGGGAGATCGGAGTTGGCGAGTCATGAAATCTCACCAAGACCCAGTTACTATGTCCGTAAAAATGGAGGTAAAAGGTATCTGCTTGGCAGAGTGGACGCTTAAAAGGTAAGTCAAAGGGTATAGCTCCGGGGATTCTCGTTCAGTGTCCTCTGGAGGCTTTTGCCCCCACACACAGATCAGGCTGCGGAGGGTGAGAGGCACCAACATGTACCCACCAGGGGACGTCTCTGGGGTTTCTAAACCAAACCAACTGTAATAGTGTTGATTTTAAGACTGTGAAGAGACGACAGACTGAGATGCTGGGTTTGGTTTTGTTTGTTTTTTGTTTTTACCTGGATTGTCCCCAGAGGGCCTGCCAAAGGGGTTTCTGAGGCTTTGGCGTCTGGGGGGGATCCCGCTGAGCCCGGGGGATCTTCGCTTCGAGTCTGATCCGGAGAAAGCCCATCGCTGCTGCTGTCCTCTTCAAAGGCAAAAGCATCTGCTGACTTGGAGAAACTCACTTGGTTACCTGCGGGAGTGGAACCCAAGAACTGAGTCAATGGCTTAGGAAACGCTTCATGTGTCATCCCTATAGGAAGCACACGTCTCTCCCCAGATTTGTTTCACGTTCAGGCTAGAGTGAAGATGGAGTTTAAATTATTTGGTTTCCTGTATGGGAACTCCTGTTTATAAAAGTGGTCTGTTTGGCGTGGAAGAAAGAGTGGTACAGTAGGAAGTCGTCATTTATTACGCTTTACGTTCAGTTTTCTGCATGTCTTCCCATTTTCTGTAAGAGCCCATACCTTTCTGAAACTAGATTGGGGAAGGTGAAGGGAAGAACAGGGAATGCAGGCTGCAGAATGAGGTCAGAGGAGACGGCAGCAGGAGGATGCGCTCGTCCCCCTTGGGTTTTGTGATAAGAGATGGAATTGAGATGACAGCTTGCCATTTGCATCCTCTTCAAACATAAAGCAGGGCGCAGAGCACAAACTGTTTAGCAAACTTTGCTAATAAGGATAAGCCAGGACAGCTACTAAGTTTAAATTCCTAAATGTCGGAATTAGCTAATGTCACCAGAGTGTCCCAAAGAGCCCCATTCACCTAATGCATGACTGTTTATAAAAGCCATAAATGTGTCTTGGAAACTTCAGCCTGATCCTTATTTTTTATTATTTGGAATTTTTTTTTATTCCTCCTATCTTTGTGTCTATGTTGGAACTGCTCGATGGCTCACACAAGAGACTCCTCCTCGGCAGCCTGCGTGGTCTTGCTAAGGGGTTATTGGACCAGATGGGACTGTAATGACATCCTTATATGTCCCTTACGCTTTTATTTGCCAAATTTCATCTGGTTTATTATCCAACTGCACAGTACACAATGTGCTGAAGCCACGTAGCTCTCTGACCTGACTGCAGGCACTGCTGTGCTAGAGGAATGTAGGTGTTATCAGGAAGTCTTCCAGCCCGGTATTCCGCAATCGCACAGACAAGAACTTTTGACTCGCTTCGTGCAGATAAGAGAGAGGGGCTCTCGCTGAAGCGATTGGAAAGGCAGCAAGGAGCTGGAAGTAATGGAACAAATGTGGCTTTGGGCTTGTCATCGCCACCACCGCTGGCATCTGTCACGGGCCCTCACGCAGATGTCCAAGTGTCAAATCGGGAAGGAGGCCACGCAAGGACAGGGCAAGTGGGAACGCCAGGAAGGGCCTGGTGACCAGCATTTCTGCTCCACGGGTTGCTTATAAAAGTTATTATTGCTTTACTATAATTATAAAAGTAATATAGATTACTCATCATAAAAATTCATACCACAGGAAAATGTCTAATGTGTACAATCTAGCTCCTGTTAATGATTTGTCATCTCTATGCATATAGAAGGACATATACAGATATATTTAAATGTATTCCAAACAGATAGACTGGGCAAAACATATTATTCGGAAACTTGCTTTTTTTTTTTTATTCTACAATGTTTCTTGGAGATCTTTCCGGTTGAGCACATAGAGATCTTCCTCATTCTTTTTTAAATGGCTGCACAGTATTCAATTGTATTGATGGGTACTTTTATTTTCAATTTCTCCTTGCACTTTTTTTGAACTATAAAAATTTGAAATAGTAAAAGAGTACAGAGAATAATATAAAACCACTCTTTGTCTCTAACCTAACATAAATAAATGTTAGTATTTTCTCATAGTTGTGTCTGAAACCTATTTGTTTCCTAGCAGGGAGGTTTCATTGGGTATTTGAACAAATGCTACATTTTGGGGACATCAGAAGTCACTCTTCTTCCCCTTTGGCATATTCTTGTCCCAAGCCCCTTCCTCTCTATTTTAAGAGTTCAGAGTTAGTTCATACCCTTCCTTTTTCCCTTTCCTCATTGCAAAACCTAGGCGCTGCAAGTGGCTTTTATACATTATTTTCAGGTAATGTCAGTGAATTGATTCACCATTTTTCCTTTCTTAGGGAGATCACATGCCTGAGATCTTCCAAAGAATGTTCTTCCAGTTGCCTCCGTGAATATACTTCCATTGTCAACTCAATCTGTACATTTCTTTACTTAGAAACTAGGTTTTCATTGAAATTTGAAGTCCAAGTTTATGTGTGGAATTAAAGGCTTTGTCTGTGTTAAAAGGATTATGTGTATTATTGAGGGCCGGGTAGGCAGGGGAGCAGGGAGATGTGTGAAAGCTAAGTGGTCCATACCCCGGAAATCACAGCATTTCATTGGGGTCTCCTGGGCACATGCCCTGAGCCAACAGCTTCGCACTCTCAGAGTGTCCTCCAGGAGACGCCAGTAGCCCCCAAGGCAGCCAGTCCTCTCCGCCACAAGGGACCCACCCACTAAAAGCGTCATTATCTGAAATCCCCTCCTCGCTTCCTTCTAAGTGGGGATGGATCTTCTTTGTGGTCTGACAGATGCTTCATGCGACAAAGACTCTTCTCATCTCCACACAGAGTATCACATCCCAAAGGTGTGCAAATTAGGGGGAATTCACCAAATTGCAAAGTCGTCCATAGATTCTGATAGGTGAGTAGAAACTTTTTTAAAAAGGGGGTGAGAAAGAGAGAGTCATTTATCCTCTTATCCCTCCCAGACCTCTTTAATTGTTTTAAGTGGAGAGACAGCAAATGATAAAAATAGCAGTTTATATCACCTGACAGTGCGGCAATAACAAAAACACCCAACTTCTGATGGGCCTCATAATGGTTCGGGAAGTCAGACCAGGGGCACAGTTTCTCATCTCTGTCTTGCAGACGAGTATTGCCGGGTCCAGTCCACCCAGTCACATGGGGACTGAGCTCAGGCTACAGTTCCAGCCCTTGGACTCTCAGAGCCACCTGGCAGAGGGGGTGGCAATGTCAGTCCTCGCCCCTGGAAGCCAGCAGGTGAAGCCATCGTGTTGTTTAGGGAACATCGTCAGCCTGCCTGGTTGGTTGGGGGTGGGAGCACAGAAAATGATCGATGTTTCTACTTTTTCTGCACACATTGTGTACTAAAGACATCTGCATTATTCCACAAAATCTCTTACTTGAGTTTTTGGAATTTGAGAAACTGAATGGCATCTCGACTTTGAGGAACAAAGAAGGCAGGAGAGTCTGGGAAAGGAGATCATGATGAATTTTACTTGAACTTCCCTTGGAAAAGGGGTGAGATGCCCGTGGCAGCCCTGCGGTTGCCACCAGTAAGTCACCATGGCCTGCTGCTTAGAGACCTGGCAGCTGGTGCCTCAGGTCGAGGCCCTAAAAAGATGTGGAAGAGGCTCGAAACAGAGTATTTGGAATAAAGGTGTAGGTAATCAGTCCTCTTTTCCCCAGGGCTGGGCAGAGCATTCCTTAGTTAATTTTGTTCATTTCCAGCCTTGCCGCTTGAGAGGAGCAGAGACAAGCTGAAGCACAATCGGGTAAGATATGACAAAGAGGAGAGACGGAAAACCATGAGGAAGGACGTCCGTGTGTCCTACGGGACACTGTCGAGGTGTTGTCAGAGGCCAGACTGCACGGTGCGTGTTGGTGGAGTGGAGTCGCCCAAGAAGCCTCCAGGAGGAGGGATGGGTTGAACGGGGGCTGAAGCCCCGTCAGGGGTGCACAGACAGCAGAAAGACAGAGGGGGCATTTGACGATGGTGGGGAAAGTGGGTGAGACATTCTAGGGTGGCCACTGGCAGAGTTGGGGTGGGGAAGATGAGGGGGAGATTCTCCCAGGGGGAGGATTATTTTAGGAGCCTGCTTTATCCGGCGACACCAAGCATTTAAGGAGGCTCCCTCGCTTAAGCCAATGAAATGAGGAAGGCATGAGCGCATGCAACCGCGCACGGGGCAGGTGCCGACACCTGCGCTGACACAGGGAGAGCACCGAGGCGCCAAATATGAGCCCATCTGCTGTCTAAAAGGCATGACGTGCCAGGTCAAAAATGCCGTTGGATGCATCGAGGACCACTTCGGGGCTGCCCAGGCCAAAGGCTCTGCCACAGGAGCCCTGCCAGTCGCCACTCCTTCAGGGCTACGAGAGGTGTGGATTCGCCACTGCCAGGGCAGGAGCCCCCCACAGCTGCACACTCGCTCAGGCCCTGTGGGTAACAGGAACCGTAACGGGGAGTGGCCCCGCGAGCACGGGGCAGTCAGCGGCTTCCTTTTGACATGATGTATGTGACGTTTGATGTGACCAATAAGGACTTGGGTTCTGGAGTCAGAGACACGTGGGTTTGTATTTTGATTCTACCCCTCTGGTGATAGAGTGACTGGTGGCAAGTTAGTCAACATCTCTGAGCCTCAGTTTCCCCATCTATATAATGGCAATAATAATAACGATAGTGGATTATATGACATAACATGGAAAATCCCTGATGTGTAAGTATTCTACAATTTCTAGATGTTATTGTTATTGTTTTTGTTAGAAGCATCTGCTTGTCTCAAGTATAACATTCTCAAAAATAAAGAGACCACCCAGGATGCACATCCCCGTGGTCAGCTTTGCAAAGGTCGGCACAACTCCAGAGCCAGAAAAACTGGTTTGTCCTGAGAAGTTCGTTCTGGGAAAGCAAAGACAGACCTTCCCCAGAGCAGGAGTGTCCTGGAAGGGCCGGCATGTTACTCCCTCTCCTTCCTGGTTCAAGCCAGGCTCATGCAGAGAGGGACAAAGGCCACCTTATCTGCCTGCCTCTGGAATAGCCTCGTCTATAGCTTTGTGTTGTGACCCTGGGCCTCCGTTCCAATCTCCCACAGCGCGAGGCTGGCTGGGAGCTGCTGGAGAGCAGTGTGCTGGCTATTGTCCCTGCAGACACGTCAGGCAGGCCGTGTGATGACAAGAACCTGCTTTGGGAAGCCCTGACGTCACCCTCTGGCTATGCCCATGGGGCTGGCTCTGCGCACTGGCCCCTTGGGGATCTTGGGCTGGCAACTCTGAGCTTTCCCTCTCCCTCTTGGAAGTGACTAGATGAATGAGTCAGTTGTACTTTCCTTTGCATAAACATTTAAAATTCCAAGATTAAAGTGAGATAGTTGAAGTCCTAGTTACCTTTCTACTGGGACCC